AGAAAGGACAAAAAATAGCTATGCTAGGATAAAAACAAAGAACGGATAGTAATTCTATCACAAAAGCAGCACTAATGTATTCATTGATACAAAAAACTGTTCACACGGGGACTCACCCACGAACTCAACTATTACATTTTCTACTATTACTCCAAATACTACTACGGCCGCTCGACGACATCACCTGGACGCCAAAGGAGAGACCACGACACACGCCGCCAGACGTAGCCACCACTACAGGGGCCCCGCCCGGTTCCGTTCCCTCGACTTAGGCGAGTGCAACGGGTACCTCAAGGGATCCGCCCGGTTCTGTTCCCTTGACTTCGGCGAGCGCAACGGGTACCTCAAGGGACCCGCCCGGTTCTGTCCCCTCGACTTCGGCGAACGCAACAGGTACCTCAAGGGCGTCGCACCCATAGATGCTCAGCATAAGAGCACGGAGCTCCTGACATTCACATGCAGTCGAGGTAGCTCCTGGGCAGGGACGCCGCTAACGAGGTATGGCCGCCATGGCTGGAAGTGATCTCATCAAGTTTTATGAACTGGCCAACCTGAGCAGCTGTAGATGCGGAACCCTCCACCAGCATGATCCTGAGCGACTTCCCCTCCGACAAGGCTCACCCGGTGAAGATCCACCGGAGAAAGTTCACACACGGCTCCATCCCGAAGAAGGACTCGCAGATGAATCCAGCACGCCACCCCCTTTGGTGGAAGCCACCCCTTCTCAGGCAAAGACGGCCAGCACCACCCCGGGCAGCCTCCAGCTCGACATCATGCTCTGGATTCACGTAAGGATCTGTAAGTCCTCCCCCTTGCTCATCCCCTCTCTCACTTAGGAACCGCCGCGGCATACAGGCACTCTCAGTAAGGAGGAAGGAGGAGGGGAGACAATAGTTGGAGAACAGGCAAAGGACTACAACGGAGAGCCCTCTCCCTCCCCCTATTTAAGGAAGAAATGCGACAGCCAAAGAGGGACAAAAGATCAGAGCGAAAAACTCTCTCCCTTCCCCCATTTAATGCGGATGGGAAACGATGGGACACACCCTGACCGATGGGACGCATGCTGACCGACGGAATGACGCCTGGTCAGGCGAAACGCCGCCTGGTGAGACGAGACATGGCCTAGGTATGGCCCACCACTATCGCACAACCGGGCGCGAAAACTGAAGCGTCACCACACGCAGGCAACTCTCCGCATCCCCAGGCGGGACTTGGAAAAACCCAAAACGGGATCTCCGCTGGGAGAGACCATCGGGCTTCCTAAGTCGATCGAACGGCTCAGAAAAACACACCGAGAGACAGGTAGGAAGCGAAGGGACACCCCATATAGGCCATGCCGACTCCATCACGAACGACGAGCACGGGTCCCGGTCGAACATTTCCGACTGGAGCTCTCCGAACCTCGTCACTCGAGTCATCAAGGTAACACTACCGACTCCCTCTATTTCTTTATAGATCATTTCATACATCCATACACTTATTCATTCCATACGCGCGTGCCCACCGGACGATTCGGGCCCTGAACCGCCCGGGGGCTCAGGAACTAAGCATCGCACATGTAGCGAAATGCATCACAACGCTCCGTGTTGCATCACGAAGCGACAGTTGCCTCATTCGACATGAGCAATGACCGACCAGGGTTCGAAGGCCGGCCCACGAAGGGCTTGAGGCCGCCCCACATCAAACAGATCCAGGGGAGAAAAATGCAGATGAGCCCCGTGCGGCCCTCGCCTAGTCTGGCAGACAGGGTCATCTCAACCTCCTTATTCGATCCTAAGCCTCTACCAAGCCCACAGAATCTCCATCGAGGGGAGGCCGTCAGGACACCCGGGTCGGTCTCCGGAACGACCTAGGCATCTGCCGGGTTCCAAGTAAAGGAGTAGTGGAATGTCACAAGAGGGCTATGCCGCCCCCAACATGAATGACGGACCCGGATTCCACTCGATCATACCCATTAACGAACTCACCGAGCGCGTCACTCGAGCCCGAGCGATTGGGACAAGCGATAAAACTCAGCCCCTCCGATTGTGAGAAAGCGAGGACAGGGTAACGCACACAACTCAAACCGACCCCTACTAAAGCCCAACGGGGCTCGGGGGCTCAAGACACAAAAACGCCTGGGTCTGTGACCTCGAACTCGCCCCATCCGGCTACGCTTCGACTGCACTCCAAAACTTCCTAAGTCTACGACCCCGAACTTGCCCCATCCGGCTACGCTTCGACTGCACTCCAAAACTACCAGGGTCTGCAACCCCGAACTCGCCCCATCTGGCTACGCTTTGACTGCACTCCAAAACTACCAGGGTCTACAACCCCGAACTCACCCCATCCGGCTATGCTTCGACTGCACTCCAAAACTTCCTGGGTCTGCGACCCCGAACTCGCCCCATCCGGCTACGCTTCGACTGCACTCCAAAATGCCTGGGTCTGCGACCCCGAACTCGCCCCATCGGGATCCACGACTCTAACTCGCCCGATCCCACGGCGTGCACCGACGCTAGGACCCACGAGCTCCGTCTCGTCCGATCCCTAAACTAACTACCTCGCCCGATCCCATGGCGCGCACCGACGCCAGGATCCACGAGCTCTACCTCTACCGATCCCAAAACTAAAACGCCTCGGCTGCGCAACGACGCCTTGGTTGACAATTCCGTCTTAACTAAAAAACACGCACGCACGCCCGCTAACAAACAACCCCTAGACGATTCTGCTCGAATCGTCCGGGGGCTCGAGGGCTACACCCGCGGGTGTGCTCGCGTGCACCTGCTGACAAAACAAAAACCTCCCCCACCGGCAAACATGAAAAAAAACCCCGGACGATTCTGCCCGAATCGCCCGGGGGCTCGGGGGCTACACCCGCGGGTGCGCTCGCGTGCACCCGCCGTCAAGGCAAAAAAATCCCCCAGACGATTCTGCCTGAATCGCCCGAGGGCTCGGGGGCTCCTGTAGGGTTCATAAACCTGGGGTCCCTCGGGGACCGGCTTCTCAACGAAGGCTTGGCCCAAGCAGACAACGCGCAACTCATGGGCCGACCCAAGTATCGGGACAACAGGCCAGAAGAGCGATCCAATCACCGGCCGAAAGATCTGGCCGAGGAGGAGCGACGCCCGTTTTCCGACTCCAGCCCACCTCTCCAACCGGAGGGCTCATGTCGGTTTCCAGCCCGCCTCCGGATAGCCTCTCCGACCAGAAGGCCTGGCCGAAACACTACTTCCGACTCTGACCCCACGTCTCCGATCGGGGTACGCAAAAACCCTGCTCACCACTCTTCTACTGGTGAAACCAGAGCTGACTGGGACCGACCGACCGGGGACACCCACTTGAAAAGGACCAGGGAACGAACGGAGAAAGCAAGGCAAGGCGCACAAGTCAAACCACGATACCAGGGACCGTACCTGTACACCTGCAGAAATAGTACTCTGCAACCGCCCTGACACAAACAGTGTTGTAGGCGCCAACATTTTTCCTACAGTATTGTGGGCGCTATTAACTCCCATACGGTAAGGCTCCCCCATATACCACTGGGCATCGACAGTGTTGTGGGCGCCGGCATTTACCGTACCGGGTGAACATGGCGAAACCCCTCACATGCCTCTGGGCATCAACAATTCACTAGTTTATTCAAGTGATTCCAGATTCATTAGATCGATCAAGTTCACTAGTTCACAACCATAGAACCGCCAGATTCGGACCTCAAGCACACGCTTGAACACTTAGCTCATAGCGGAGCTCCTGTCGCTCTCGGCCCTTTCGACCGGAGTCCAATCGGACCTCTTGTACCTCTCATTTTTCTCCTTCTCGTTTGTAACCCCACTGTAAACTTCAAGCACCTGGGTTCAGGAATAAAGTCACCGACCGACTCAAACTGGACGTAGGGCATGTTGCCTGAACCAGTATAAACCCTGTGTCATTGAGTGCTAGGCCACCTCCGATTACAACGCCCGACAAAACTACAAATATTTACTTGTTGGTCACTTTCTACACCGACACATAATATTGGTAATATTATTGAATAGTTTAACTTAGGGTAAATCTAAAATTGTGTTGTTTCTAGGATAGAGATTCTAGTAAATAAACCCATAAATACTTTACCAATTCATACCATTTACCTACCAACTTATACCATTTTTTGGGGGTAAAGTTGAAGTACAACCGTATCTGGCTCAATTAATCAGGTCTTATGCGGAGGAATGCTCCCCTCTGAAACAGATCGGCATGGAGCCTGCACTGCCCCGGCCTAGAGCAGTCTGGAGTAGACCACCTGATGGCTATGTGAAGCTGAACTATGATGGAGCATTCAAACAAGGTGATCGTTCTGGAGGATGGGGTTTCGTGCTGGGCGACGGTGATGGAACCGTTATCAGCTCCGAGTATGGTAGACTGGGGAAAGTCTTGGAGCCGGTTCACGCGAAGATCATTGCTCTTGCAGGCACTGCAGAGAGCAGTCGAACTCGAGATACAGAATGTGGTTTTGGCAACAGATGCCACAATGGTTGTTGAGGCAGGGACCTCATCAGAGTTCGTCCGGGTACAATCTCAGTACGAGATAGTATTCCAGCTTGTATCCAGGTTCTGGTGGCCGAAGATTTGGTATTGGTTATTGCATAATGGAGTTTACTAAAAAGAAGGATCTAAACAGTCTACAATTCTTTTTGTTATTCAGATCTATACATATTCGTGAGTCCTCTAGCTTATAGCTTACTAGAATCAAGAGCCATGCATTCCTTCATGTCAAATGAATGATCTATTGGTCTTTCAGTTATCGTCTTGAACTTTAGTTTTGAACCTGTAATGAGTTTATTTCTTGGTGTGTGTATTTGTTTTAAGTTTAGACTGAAGCTTCTTTGTTGAACAAACTTGAAGCTCGATTTTTCCTTTATCTAAAAAAGATCCAAACCACATTTATCCTCCCTAATGATCGAAGCTGCCTATCTTTTTCCCTCTCTCCAACTAGCTAGATTCCTAGTTCGATCCACCAATAGACAAACTGTTCGAGTTCTTCACCCCTGCGTCGTCTTCACTACCAGTGGACTCCTCACCTGATGGCTCCCATCAGACCATACGATGGCGCCAAATGCGTAGCCCGCGGGCGGGGCAGGGTCCCTGACCGTGAAGCTCACGTCGAACTCCTTCTCCTCGCCGGCTTCCCTGAACACCAGCATCGCCGGTGTCACCGACACGTGCACCCCCTCGGGCTCCTTGACGACGGCGGCCGTGTACGTCCCCGGCAGCCCGACGTTCTTGAGCCTGCGCCGGACCATCGTGGTCGTGCCGGCGGGGAGACCGTGGGCAGTGATGGACGGGTAGTTGAGGTCGTGGAGGCTCATGGGGATGCTCGGGCACACGAACGACCCCTTGTTGAAGAGCTCCATGGCCGTCGCGTTGTACCCGAGCGCGCAGAGGAAGTCGAGGTAGTCCACGATGGTCATGTCGTACACGAGCCCCGGGTCCAGCGCGCGGCTCGGGAAGACGTGTCCGGCGCCGTAGCTGAACGGCGTCGCCGGGGCGTGGGACGAGTTCAGGATCGGCTTCCGCTCCGCGTCCAGCTCCGTCGCTGCAGCCAGCTCGAGTCCGTCAGTTATCGTTCGACCAGGGTGGTCGTCCTCATCGACGCCGGCGGCCAGACGTTGGACCGACGTGAGGAGCTTGCTTACCGCTTGTCATGATCGCCGACTTGATCGCGGAGGGGCTCCAGTCCGGGTGGAGGGTCTTGATCAGGCCAGCGATGCCGGAGACGTGCGGGCACGACATGGACGTGCCGGACAGCATGTTGAACGCCACGCGCCGCTTGTCGAACGACCTGTCTGTGGGCGCCGTCGCGCCGCTCCACGCCGCGATCACGTTCACCCCCGGCGCCGTGATGTCTGGCTGCGCGAACCAATACAATCCAGGGTGACATGTGGCATCAGAGCTCATGGTGATCATGGACAAATCGATGAGTCTGCGGAACCCAAATCAGTAAATCACCTTGAGGATCTCAGGGTTGACCGTGTTCGGCCCCTGAGATGAGAAAGCCGCCATGACCGGCGCCGGCCTCATGCCCAAGATCGTCCTCCCCTTGACGACGAACCCGGACGGAATCCTTAACACACATATTACACACGAGTTTGTCAAAGCAACATATAGCTCGTCACGTATTTATGTTGAACATTTTCCTGCAGGAAAAAAAGTAACATGTTTGTAAGGAGAGTAGCCATTGGCCTACTTGGTGTTCTTGATGTATTCCCAGAGGGCGAGCCCGTTGGCGTAAGAGATGTGCACGGCCGGGAGTACGTGCGGGTCGGCCTCGAGGTCGTTCCCGGTGGCCTCGTCGTTGACGAGGATCATGGCGGCTCCGCCGGCGTGGCGGACGGCCTCGCCCTTCTCCACCCTCGTGGTGATCCCTCTAAGGCACACCACGATCTTTCCCCTGACCTTCTCGGGGTCCAGCGACCCCATCAAGCACAACTGGCTGCACAAGCACGAACGCGCATGCATGGTCAATACATTGCACACTGTGATTAGTACAGTTAACGATGAGCTAGCTTACGCGTCTTTCGGCGTGCTGCCAGGATGTGTGGCTTCGTCGCCGCTGATGATCGGGTAGAAGCCTTTCCCGTGCAGCCATCTCTCCGAGAGGCTCATGCCCTGACAAACCACTAGGCATGTAAGGTGTGTAAGCATGGCGCACGCAGTGCAGAAGCTTGCACGCACGCACCTCGACCCTGGTGTGGTTGAAGACGGCGAAGGCCGAGAACTCCCTGTCGGCGGAGCTGGCGGCGACGGTGAGGATCCACGGCGCGACGTTGGTGACGGTGCCGAGGTCCGGGCCGTTGTTGCTGGCGGAGCAGACGACAGCGACGCCGGCCTTGACGGCGTGGAGCGAGCCGATGGCGACGGCGTCGAGGAGGTAGTCGGTGGAGTCGCCGCCGACGGAGGCCGAGATGACGTGCACGCCGTCGGCGATGGCGGCCTCGAACGCCGCGAGGACGTCGGCGTCGAAGCACTCGCTGCCGTTGATGGGGCGGAAGCAGACGCGATAGGCCGCCACGCGCGCGCGTGGGGACCCGCCCCGCGCCGTGCCCACGCCGTACCCGAACGCGCTCGCGCCGCGCACGGCGGCCCCGCCCGCCGTGGACAGCGTGTGCGTGCCGTGCCCGTTCTCGTCCCGCGGCGTCTTGAGCGCGTCGTCGAGCGGGGCGCCCGACGCCGCCGCCCAGCCCTTGTTGAAGTAGCGCGCGCCGATGAGCTTGCTGCCAGATCCATCACCGTCAGCATGATCAAACTGCTGACGTTCTAGTACGTCGATGTGACGACTGTGATCTGTAAGGTGAACTGACCTGTTGCATTGGAATTTCCTGTCGTGGTCGTTCTGGCAAATCCCTTTCCAGTCGTCTGGGATGGGCCCCATCTCGCCCTCGTCGAAGCTCTTGGACTCCGGCCACACGCCTTCATCACGTCGCATGAAGAGCAAATAAAATTACAGAGACCCCACAGGCGATGGCGGCGATGCGAGAGATGAGATGTACCTGAGTCGAGGTTGCCGATGATGGTGTCCTCGCCGTACCTGGCCTTCTCCCAGGCCGACCAGTGCGGGACGTCGCCGCCCCTCTCGAGCCCCATGAACTGCCACGACCTCGTCGTGTGCAGCTTGCGGCCCCTGTTCGGGAACACCGACACCACGCCGGGGTACCCTGAAATGGCACCATGCAATGCATTTCAGAAGAATATATATAGATCGTGATAGATAGATAGATAGATAGATAGATAGATAGATAGATAGATAGATCATGCGAGTGTTCGTTCGATCAGTGGGTGGGGGCTCACTGGCGATCTCGGCGGCGTCGCCGGGCTCGAGGTTGGCGGCGAAGCCATTGATGTGCTTGGTGTACGAGTAGAAGATGGCCCGGCGCGCCTTCTCCCGGCTGCATTGCATCGACACGGCGGTTACATTTTGAACCTCAGGAAGAGCGGGAGGAGCTGGAAAACGACGGCGCTTACTTCCCAAGGACGGCGCCGAGGAGGTCGTAGTGCGAGTCGGCGGCCCGCCGGGACGCCATCTCCGGCGACACCCCGTCGTCGCTCTGCGGGTGGCCGCCGAGGTACACGACGTACGACGACGACGGCGGCGGCTTCCCGGAACCGGAAGCGAGCGCCGCCGGGCTCTGCAGCAGCGAACAGAGCAGGACGAGTAGGACGGCGGCAGATGCGACAGCCGTGCTGGTCTCCATGCCTGGCCCGCAACGAGAGTACGTGGTCGATGGAGGGAGGGAGGGATCGGTGCGGCGGCGGCGGCGGCGGTGGCTCGAGTCCAAAGAGGAGTGCTCGTCAGTCGTGAGCTCGTGCTAAGTTAAAGGAGGTGGGAGGGGTGGTGCGCCCGCGGCGCTGCGAGAGGACTCCGTCGTGCTCCCGGCCGCATGCCGGTTTTGCGCAGATCTCTCAGATCTGACGAGCATCAGTTGCGGCCCAATGCAACCGCCGCTGCATTGCATGGGCGCTGCGATGCGAGAATCAGAAACCGGGAATGGTCCACGTCTCGTGCGACGGATGCGTTTTGTTCTCCTCGTGTCACATTACTCCACTCAGTCATTCGTCAAGGCATGGAACTGGTCCATAACCTCATGTTGGGCCCAATGCAAGAAAGTAGACCGAGATAGGCCCATCTTAACATCATCCGACAAAGCCTAGCAGCGAATGAAGTGGCTTGTTCGTTCCTTGTTGGTGCTCAAGTGGGTGGGTCGCACACTCTCTACTTAACACGCCACGTGGACTTGCAAGTAGCGACAGGTGGCGTGTTGAATGAAGAGAACGTGACCCGGCAACAAGGCAGCAAGCCAAGCCATGACTTGAGCACACCGGCCAGGTTCAGTTTTCTAATGTCAAAGAAAAACCTTGAAAGTGGTGTGTAAGTGTAACTATGTACAGTACACTTTATACTTGTCAAAAAAGAGAGAAGCAAATTTCCAACGACCTCGAATGATTGTGCAAAAGTCAAAAGCTTACTCACGGCTTTTACGTCGTATGGTTCACGTTAACATGTGACATCAGCAATGTGCTAGGCTTCTAGTTGCTCGGATTAATTCTCGGATAAAGCCCACACTTGGTCCTCTAGTTTTTAGTCTCCAATGATATTTGTCTGATTATTATTATTAGAAGAGAAGGGTTACAGCAAACCGGTACAAAACTAGGTGTTGTACGTTCATCATCGATACATGTTTTTAGTAGCTTTATATAACCGAGGCAAACTGAACAAGTTTCATTTGAAAAAAGAAAAAGAAAGATTAAATAACATATAGGTTTGTTATTAGCTACTTCCGTCTGCAGTGACCAGGGAAAAAAAAACTCACTCGTCTGCCCCCACATCCAAAGCACAGATCTGTGGCCAGCTCATCTCACGGAGCTACGGTGCCGCTGCGTATGGATTGGACAGGGGTTCGAGGATTTTCTCGATCTACGTGAGAAGATCTTCTTCTTAAACTGGAATACCGGGGTCTACCTAGCCACCGCGGATCGAGTTTTTTTTATTAGCTACTTCTGTCCAAAAGAAAGCAATTTTAACTCCATCCCTAAGTCAAACTTAATTTTTTAGAGATGGGTACCTATAAGATATGAGTATATGACACAAATAAATACATACGAAAACGTATTCCATGAAAACCCAATCTAATGATACTCATTTGGGATCATAACTATAAGTATTCATTTATAAAATTTAATTAAACTTTAGAAGGTTTGATTTAGAGCAAAATTAGAATACTATTTTTTGGGATAGAGAAACCATATTTATAAAGGCTGTGTTGGCTCCCGCTTATAGCCGCTGTGGCTGCGGCTGCAGCAATTCTATGTACATTAGCTGCTAGTTCTTAAGCCGCAGCCATTAGAGGTGGCAACGGGACAGATTCGGATTGGGTGGAGTCTCTGTGCACCCGAAATCGAAACCCGAAGCCGCACTGTCGGTGTTTCGAACCAGCACCGGCTAGTAAATTTATAATTATGCGCGTTAGGCCTGGATGGTGCGTCGAAGAACACAAGGTTTATACTGGTTTGGACAGAATGTACATACGTCCAGTTTGTTGCTGCTCGTGTTATTAGCACCGAAAGCGGTTCGTAGTAAGGGGTACAAACGGTCGAGAGAGGGACTGGTCCCAGGTCTCTGATGGAAGGGTCGAAAGGAGGCCAAGAGCCTGGTGTCGGCTTGGCTGTGTATGTGATGTCGAACTGAACTCTCTATAAGTTCGTCTGTACGTGAGTTCGGTGTCCAAAGTCGGTGTCAAAAGTCCATCCCTCTAGTGGGGAGCCCTGCCCTCCCTTTTATAGACCAATGGGGAGCAGAGGTTACAGATGGGAGAAAGAGGAAAATACCAAGGGTATAGAAGGTCCATCGAAAGATCCGGGTCTTCCTTTTTCCCTGCGCCTGCCCTGTATAACATGGCAGACAGTGTCAGAAGTGGCGTGTTCATTGATCTTCGTAGGACGTGCCCTGGCTTCTTTTAGCAAGTGGGTGCGTCCCATCCCGCCCCTACGGGCGATGTGTCGGACAGGGTTGTTGAACTCCAACCCCGTGGGGAGCGGATGTCGTGGTGACTGCTCGTTTTGCCATTGTAGAGGACGGGAGTCTCTTCTTGGAACGTAGTGGTTGTCGTATGTCCGTGTCGGGTTCTTCGCCTGGTGGTTTGAAGGCGGCGCCTACAACACTGTAGGGCGAAGAGCACACGCCTACAACACTATTCAGGCTCTGTCACGCCTGTAAGAGTCTAAGCGCCCGTCCCATCATGTCCTGACGGTACTTTCCTGCAGGGGCGCAGGACATGGTCCTTCGATGCCATGGTTGACCCGAACGTCTTGTCTTACTCTGTGCCTATCATCATGAGGGAGCGGGGTGCGGTTGTCAGGCGAGGCGGAGCCAGTCCTTGGACATTGGGTGAGGCGAGGTCCGTCAGGCGAGGCGGAACCTAGCCTCCCGAGGTCGGGCGAGGTGAAGCCTAGCCCTCGGGGGTCGGGCGAGGCAGAGCCTAGCCCTCGGAGGTCAGGTGAGGCGGAGTCTAGCCCTCAGCCCTCGGGTGAGGCGGAGCCGTCCCCCAGCCGTCGGGGGAGTCGGAGCTGGCCGACGGGCATCGGGCGAGGCGGAACCAAACTCTCATCATTCGGGCAAGAAGCGCAGCGGTGCTCTTGTCCATTCGGGAGTTTTTAACATTCGATGGTTATTAGTTCCACCTCCTTGGGTACCCCGGTATTAGGTTCCCGACAGTAGCCCCCGAGCCCCCGGGTGGTTCGGGCAGAATCGCCCGGGGGGTGTTTCGATTTCGTCGAAGTTAGTTCGCCAGAGGGTGCGCGCAAGCGCACCCAATGGGTGTAGCCCCCGAGCCCTCGGGTGATTTGAGTAGAATCGCCCGAGGGGTGGTATCGGGCCCTCCGTGGGTAAGGCCGTAAGACTTGGTTTTTTTGTCAACTGGATATTTCTAAGGGAATCGTGGTATCCCGTTGGCGGGGATTTCATTCAGGGCTGGCCTGATTGGGGCTTGACTGCGGATCGAGGCCTTGGCGATGCTTGCGTCCTTGAGTCCTGGTCGTTTTGCGGGCCCATCCCTCGTTGGGACGGCCTTTGGGCTCCGGGGTCCTAGTTGGGCTGAAAAAAAAGCTTTGTGGCCTATATTCCCTTGGTGGGAAGAGAGTCCTGGTCCACCTGTGGAAGGCGAACCGCTCGGTGCGACTTTCGCAGGAAGGGATGGGGATTGCGTGCGCATGTCCCGTGATGTGACGCGGCGGTGCGTCGTGGCGGGCTCGGAGATCGAGGTGGACCGATGCCCTTCTCGCGTCCGTCGCCCCTATAAAACCACAGGGTTTGCCCCTAGGGTTCCATACTTTGCCTCCTTGCCCTCGTGTTCTCAGCCTTCATCGCCAATCGCCTGGGCCTCTCGCACCCGCACTGCTCCCGCCGTCAAACTCGCTGCTGCCTTCTTCCCCTTGCTGCTCCCGCCGTCGCAATGGACCCAGGGTACAAATCCAACATCTCCACTCGACGCCTGGAGGGCCTCGTCCGCCGAGGCCTCCTTCGCCCGTTGACCGCCACCGAGGAGTGGCGGCTGCCCGGTGAGGAGGAGGAGCCGCAGCCGCCTGAAGGGTACGTCGTGTCTTTTGCTCACTTCCACGAGCGGGGATTCGCCATGCTCGCCCATCAGTTTTTTCGGGGCCTGTTGGACTACTACCAGTTGGAACTACAGCACCTCACCCCCAACGGGATCCAGCACATTGTGACGTTCGTCGCCCTGTGCGAGGGGTTCTTGGGGATCAGTCCCCACTTTGACCTGTGGCAATATCTCTTTGCCGTCAATCTTGTGAAGAGGCGGGTCGGGCAGCAAGAGCTGCATGCGCCGGTGGGGTGCGCCAGCATCCACCTCCGCAACAATCGGGGGGGCGTACCCGCTAATGCATCTGTCCACCTCCAACAAGGGGTGGCATTCGCAATGGTTCTATGTCAAGAATGATGCTGCCACCCCCTTGCCAGCTTTCACCGGGCGCTACATCTTGGAGGCCCCGGGGTCGTGGGGGTGGGGCATCCCGTGCAAGAGAAAAAAGCAACTCAACGATCTTCTCGCCGCCATCCGAACTCTGAAGCAGAGGGGCGTGAAGGTGTCGGGGGTCATCGGCGCCTACCACGCGAGGAGGGTTGCACCGCTGATGGCGCGCACGCTTCCCCTGTATCAGATGGTGCCCAAAGCATCCTTCGAAGGGACGGTGCTTGTCGACGAGGCGCTCCCTTACTCCGAAGTGGCGCAGCGCATCAAGGAGGCGATGGAGCCCATGAAGGACTCCGCTGGCGCCGTTCTTGACTTCGTGTATCCGGTGCTGGGGCATCCCCTGATGCGACCGGAACCGGGGTTTGTTGACTTCGTAAGTTTTCTTTCCCCTTGCTCCTCTTTTCTCTTGAATTTCTGACCCCCTGATGTTAACCTCGGGATGGCGGGACCAGCCGGGGGGACTGCACTTCAAGGACAGCCCGACTCTGTTGTTGAAGGACCCAACCCGGGCGACAACAAACCGTGCCGTGGCTGGTTGGGACAAGAAGACGAGGGAGCTCACGAAGAAGAAGGCGATACAGAAGGAGCAAGCTCGAGATCGAGGAGAGGAGACAAGAAGTGAAGACGATGATGATGACGACGAGTCTGGTGAGGAAGCAGTCGGCGTGGATTGGGGTGACCTGGTGGACGAGGACTCGTTGCCCACGCAAGGA